TCCAGGTGCTGGGACCTGGTTTGGGCTAGCCTACTGGGTCTTAGTCTGTGGTGTCACCCAGGCCAGGCACTCCTCACCAATCCTTCTTGAGAGGGGAATATTCACCCTAGGACACTGCAGCCTCCTGTTCTGGCTAATCTGGCAGGTCCCAGTATGTCCTTTACTGAAGCCTCCTACTCTGTGGAAGGATCTTCGATCCGCTCACTCACTGCAGGTCAATGCAGGGCTCCTGGCCAGTCCCGCTCTCACCTCCATTTGCTGCTTCCCACTCTTAGAGCTTTTGTGCCTCTCTCCTTCCCGTGCCAATTGGGATGCCGCAGCAGCTGCAGGAAATTCAAATCATGGCTGCCAGTGGCGTGGGCTCCAGGTTCCATGCTGCGACCTTCTCTGTTCCTGTTATATTATCAGAATTGCGTTTCCAGTTGGCTTCTCTTAGTTTAGTTCATTCTTGGGTCAGCAGGGTGTAACTCTCCTTGCTTAGGACTTCTCGCCCAGAACCATTCCTGGATTTTAAGTGTGGTTTTTCAGAGAGCCTCCGAAGCTGCTGCTATCTATCCACCATGTTCTCCCGGAAGTCCTGTTTTATAATTTTGAACCACAGTTGAAATATATTTACTTTAGGCTTTCAGTTGTATGTTAACAACAATTATAGTGGTAATTCAATACAAAGGAAAATTTGGAATCGTTAGAATAATAGAATCATGGGACATAGCATTCAGGATTTGAAATTCTTGAACATAGTTTCACTGCTGGGCAGTATGACAGCGGTTTGGATAAAAGATTTCTTAATATAAAAGTATATTAACTTAGAAGAAAATCTTTTGGGGCAAGTGGAATGCAAAAATGTTTTTAACATTAAATAGATGTAAAATATGTGTATGGTAAAGAGGGTTTTCATTTGTTTATGGTGGATATGGTATGGCTATATTTCTTGGGATGCACATAACTGTGAAAAGAGCAGCTTTTACAGTTTTCCAGAAATATGCAACTATTTACCTGTAGACCCTAAACAAGCTTTTGGATCCTGGCTTAGAAATGTGCCATAGCATATGATTTTTGAAATAAGTTACAGGCATTCTTGAGCAAATATTTTAGAGATCCCCAGGCCAGGGTCAGACTCCTGCCTTGGGTTGTGCTATGAACTTTCATTTGCAGTGCATTGCTAATGGTGGATTTGCTCACACTGTAGCTGTAGCTGAAATAGAAACTCAGCAGCATCACATTTCTTGAAAGCAAAATATGATTCTGGGTTTTTCATTTTGTGGTAAGAGCAAGGCTGAAGACTTCTCTCCACAGCTAGGCTGGGAAACTCCACAGAATCCCTAGGGGAGGATCCTGGGAGACAGAATGAAAGGAAGAACGAATGTCATCAGATGAAGGGATGGGAGTAGGGCCATTTAATTTGATTGTGCAGATATTCACGGCCTCCTTCATACCTATGAAAGTCAGATTTCCAACACTTCTTCTAAAAATATTTTCAATTTTTAAATTATCTTTGTTCCCCACTCCCTTGCATCTGCTTCAAAGATTCTATATACATTTTTTCCACTTAAACTGTCTATGCATTTCACAAGTTTATCATTTTAATGTGACTCTCATTTTAAAAAAGTAAGAATTATTTGGAATTTTAAAAAATTATTATTATTTTTTAAGCTATAGACTTACAATTTGTAATAGCTAAATCTTGGAAACAGCCCAAGTGTCCATCAATTGCTGAATAGATAAAGAAAATGTGGTTTTCTTTATGCAGCAGAGTATTTTCTGCCTGAAAAAAGGATAAACTTGAGACATTTCTTGGTAAATGGATGCATCTTGAGACCGTACACTTAGGTGAAGTAAATTGGACACGTGTTTAAATAGTACATTTTTTTTCCTTCGGTGTGAGAAATTGAAAGCATAAATAAGGATGAAAATTCATAATAGATATTGTTAAGCAGGAAGAAAATGGTCAAGGGAAGAAGGGAAGAAGGAAAGGAAGGAAAGGAAAAGGAAAGAAGGAGAATACAATGAAAAAATGGAAGCAAAGCTTTTTCAAACAAGAAAGGAAACAAGGTTGAAGAGTGAGACGGGATTGGGCAGAAAAAGAAGAATCAAGGTGTATCATCTACATGCACAAATTCTTTATGATGAATGCTATCATTCTGTATATGTAAAGTGTATGAATACAATTTATGAAAAATAAATTAGCGATTTTGGGTTTCATCATTTTTCTTCCCTCTGTTCTCTTATTACTACCTTCTAATTTTTAAAGAAATATACCTCAGTACTTATTAGCTTTCAAACTATATGCCTTCCTCTCTAATGGAGCCATTGCATGAACCAATCAAAGGATTCTCTGATCTCCAAACCAACCAACTGACCAACTAGTCAATCAACCAGCTGGCCGCAAGTCAACCAACTAGTATTTAACAGCCACTCCCTCCCAAGGTATACTTTGTTGTCATTCAAGTTTTGAGAGGGTCTAGACTCCACAGCTCTACTCTTCATTCATGTAATTTGGCTTTTCCTCAAGTATTCTTTCCTCACTATATGAAGGAGTGAATCCAGGGTCTTTGCACAGCGCTAGATTCCCAGTCCTATTTTTTTTTTTTAATTTTGAGAAATAATTTTGTTAAGTAACTAAATTACCCAGCCTGCTCTCAAGCTTAGGATCCTCTTACCTCAGTCTTTCAGAGCTGTAGGACTATGATCCCACTCCATCATGCACAGACACTTGGTAGCATTTGAGTTCCTATGTATTGGGGCAAAACCAGAGAACTGTATTTCCTGTAGGTCTCACATGATTGAAATGCCTCTGCTAGGCTGAGCAGGCGTGATTAGTAGTAAAGTGTACTCTCTGTAGTTTCTCCTCCAAACTTTTCAGTACTCTACGGTCTGTGAGGGTTTAGGAGTGACCTATTCTTGCCTGGGAATGTGAAAACAGCTGATCCTTCTCTTAGCTGTTCCTGCCCAGGATGTGAGTGTCTAGCAGGGCATCTTTAGGCACTCTGTCTATGCCTATGTGTGGCTCAGTAGACTCCTGGGGGCTTTAGTCCCTTGTCGTGTTAAGGTGAGTTGTACCCAAAAGTTAAAGTAGGACTAAGTCATAGATGTGTTAAGGTACAATTTCTCCCAGATGATTTTGGATTATAGCTCAGTGGTAAAGAACCAATCCAAAGTTCTCAGAGTTCAATCCCCAGCACTGTTTTTAGTGGAGAAAAGAACCAACAGTAACAAGAACTTAAAATCAAATAAATATACCACAAAAATATATTAACAATCACCATATATACAAAAAAATTCACATAGCAGAAATTCGCTGAAATGTTAACGTTGATAAAAGTAAAGTTAATAATAAAAATTTTATGACAGATGAAAACAGAAGAAAGCCAAAGAGAAAAGAAAGGGAACAAAATGGGAAAAGAGAGAGAAGAGAAAAATCAATTGAAGAATTAAATAGATTATATATTATTTGTATTAAACATAAAAAGAATAGATTAAATATAAAAAGAACATGATGATGAGGGAAGACAAAATCAAAGAGATGGCATTGGGAATGCACCAGGTGTTGTAAGGGTTAGTGGTTCTAGATCATGCTTACTAGGTATTTGCCAGTTCCTGCCAAATAGGCAAAACCAGAGGGGAGTATGAAGGCTGAGAGGTACCTTTCTTTCTTGTAAGTGACCCCACTGCCCATTAGACTGGGCTAAAGGAAAGATGTCTGCTGCAGAGTTGTGTTTATTTCATAGGACGTGGTATTCAACACTGTTGGACAGTGACCTCCAAATGAGGTCAGGAACCTGTCTTATTTTTCCAAGCTAGTGGGATCATCAGGCTATGAGCACTTGGTCCCAGGTCCAAGAGCTCTGGAGCTTGACAGATGGCCATGTCTCAGGCAGGATCATCTGAATGCCTCTGCTTACTGAGGAAAATACCCATCAAGGAGCTCTGCAATCCGGGAGGAGTCAGGAGAAAGAACGTCTGCCAGTCTCAGCCAGTGTGCTCTGTAATGCAGCCCCACCGGAATCCAGACACAGCTTATGTTGCTCAGTGTCACAGAGCTTGAGAGACAATTTTACATGGAGGCACCTTCTTTTCCCACTGCTCAAATCTCACTTTCCCCTGCTTGTAGCTCACAGAGATTTTGTGTTGGTCACTACCTTGGGTGACACTTCATTGTTTCCCATGCTCATGCTCTCTAGGTCAGTGACGAGAAGAGCTGCTGAGATTTGGGAAGATAAAAAATGTAGGTGCTTCTCATCTCCCAAGCAGTGAGTCCAGACCCTGAGACCCTTGTTAAGACAAGCTGGGAAGGGCCCACAAACCCTCTAGCAGGACCAGCTCCCAGTGCAGATCCCAAGTTCCTGTTTCTTCTCACTGCTTGTCTGCTCTGTGCTGGACTCTGTGCTGTGCAGATTACAGAGACGCTGCCACTCACAGTCACAGAAGGGGCGCTTCCTCTTCTCCACCAAGCAATAGAGGCCTCCATGTCAGGATATCCCATTTCTCTTGTTTTTCTAAAAACCATCTTCTGAATTTTACCTGGGCACTGCCTCTTTCCATGCAATCCAGACATTTCCTAGGACTCTCTGCCTCGACATGAGACCTCCCCCCATGGATGTGATTCAGTCTTCTGGAGCAGCAATGGAGTTCTGAGTGTCTTTAATCTACTATGTTACTTCCCCTGATGCATATATTTCTAACTTACCTTGCTAATGTGTGATAGAGCACTTGCATTTTGTTGAATAGAACAACATTTGACTAGGTCATTATTTTGTTAATCCTGACAATGTATTTTCTAGAATTATGTGCTTATATAATGTATTTACAGATGATGTATTTCTGAAACATAAGTTATGTATAAAATATCACTATATTTAAAATCACCATGGGAGTTGAGGTTAATCAGTTTAAAGAGAAATATGATTTCTTTTTATTCATTTAAACCTGGTAAAAAATAAAATCAAATGCAAATTTAGAATACGTGATACTGAAATATATTTTTATTTTAACACTGAGCATTTAGTCCTCATGAAAATTTTATAGCAAAAACAGAGGATTCATGTATGTCTGTAGAAAGAGAAACAGAAAGTCTTGTCATCTCAACCATTGGATTCTTAGTTGTACCTATAAACCTGGAAATGACAAGAATCCAAGGGACCTACTGTTTGAAGCCATCAATTTAATGAAACAATTCTGTGAACTTTTCTTCCAAAACATGACATGATTTTTAAAAGGAATAAACTCTGCCAAAGAAGAGGATATTATTGTTTTCATTTTGCTTGATGAAAAACAGGAAAGGGTGATCACAGTGGAAGTCTTGATACATTGGTATTGACGTAGTAGATACCACTCCTCCCGTGGCAGCTGCAGCCTCTGTCCCTTCTTCATTCACATTTACAAAGGACTTGTGTACGAACGCAGACACCGCTAGACCCTCATCTCTGCTTATACCTGAAAGGTCAGCAGTTTGGGGAGTGAAAGATTTTACCATCCCCATGTCTTCCAACATAGGCTTCAAGCTGTAGCTCTCTTCCAGTTTGAACTTTGGTAACTGTAAATCCACCTCTGTTGGGCTCATATTCTGTAGGCTTGTCCACTCCATTAATTTCTCAGCAGTGAGTTCATCTTCAAGCTGTGAAAATGGAAAAAGTGAAGTTGGCATGATTGTTTTGTCCCCTAACATGCTTTAACAACGAATGTAATATATGAAAATCTTTATTTCAGCAATGAATGTATGATATAGCTGATTCAGTTTAAGACATCCTGTGAGTGCCTAAGTATGATGTATATGTACATAGACATATGAGCATGTGTGTGTATGTATTCACTATGGAATACTACATTACCTTATTTTGATCAAAATGAAGTAAAGATCATTACTCCATAGGGTGACAATGTATTTTATGTGTCATTTAAAATAGATTCTTTATAATCTGGTGCTCACTGTTTATCAAGTACTGTAAGTATACTCCACATTTGATATTTAATTTTTTGATTGACATATTTGTAAACATTACTGTTCTTCTCCACCACATATATTTTTACCTTTTGCTACAATCAAATTGAAGTTTAATGTCAAGTATTAATTGACTATGAGTACTTGTCAGACTCTATGATAAAATATTAATATTGGAAAAATAAATCATTGATCGTTTTGTTGAATTTTTTCATTATTTTAAGATCCTTTTCTTTAAAAGCTTTTCTTGGTGACTTGTGAAAAGACTAGAAGACAGAATCAAAGCATAGCTATAAGAGGTACCTTCTTCAGGCCATCTATTTCATTTGGTAGCAACACAATCATGCTCAGGGCTCCCTTTTTATAAGGTATTTCCAGGATCTTGGCCTGCACATCTTCCAGCGAGGCAAAATTTAAAGAGTTTCTTTGGTTCATCATTTTCACAGGTTTGCTCACATCCTGTAACAAATGAAAGCATAAGAAATCACAAATTAGATCTAGTACAAGTTGCTCCAGGTACTCCAGGCTAAATAAAATTTCAAGCATAAAATAGTGAAGCAATCGTCACGACTCATTTTATTTTTTACCTACAGTGGTACACAAAGCACAGATGTTTAAATCTAACATTTCCCACAAAACTACATTGCATGAAGGTAATGAAATATAGTCAGTACCTTGTTCAGCCAAAATTTTCCTTCCACAGTGTCTTCTTCCCTAAATTTCAGGCTCCACTGCCCTTTGAAATAGATTGCATTCACTAGAACTAGTTTAGTGTCACTCGTGAGAGACCCACTAGGAAACAGGTTCCGGATCTTGTCTGTAAGAGAAAAAAAGTCTATGAAGCAAAATTTGCTTGTAGTAAAGAAACTTTGTGACTTAACAATTAATTCTTCACAGAAGGACTCCTTTGGGACATGTAAACCTGCTCACAAAGTGCAGCTTCTTCAAGGTGCCAGCCTCAGAATCACCTCTGACAGAGGTGCCAGTGTTTAAAATGAGAACGTTTTAGGCTGTTTGTCTCAGAATGATTACAGTCATTTCATAAAAACAGATTTCATCTTCTTTATCAACTTACCTTTATCATTCCTCTCTCTCCTCCTTCCTTTCTAGTTTTTCTAATTCACATGCACTACTAAGAGGAAGTAAGCCCTGATCATTACTTAGAAGTAGTAGCATGAGCTCTATTACATAAAACCTATAGGCTGTGCTCGTAGACACTGCTCCCTGGAGTGTCTTCATCCTCATTCTGATGAGGATTTGCCACAAGCTTTGCATGTGCAAAGGGTGGGAGTCAAAATATGTGGTCATATGTGGACTTTGATTTAGCTCTCTGGCGTGGATGGACAGCTGGCTAAGTGGGGACAGAAACTTTTGAAATCATAAACCAAAATAAATCTTTCCTCTTCCAAGTTCTTCCTCTAAGTTGTTTAGTCTTGTATTCTGTCACACTCATGGAAAGCTGACTAGTACAGTTCCCTAATATAAGACCGGTTCTAATTTATATTAAAGGATCTGATGTCAAAATGGAAGTGAGTACAGATTGGAATCCCCGGGGAATTGTCACCCAGCGCCATGTGCAAAACATTCTTCAGCTGTGTTTTCAATATTCAGCTGTCTGTGATTTCTTGCCTGGCTCTCATTTTCATTGTCCACATTTACTTGGGCCACTCCACCACCTACAGTGCTCCTGCATCCTCTTCCCAAACCTGTCTCCACATCCCCCCTCAGCACCCCACCTGCTGTGTCAGACACGGGGCTCACTCCCAGGGCACTCAAGTGTCTGCCTAATGGGGCCCTCCCTTTAGGTACCATGTGTTTCTTTTTCCACCCAGGTGTTAATCTTCTTCCGACTTCCTTCTGCATCAGTTTGAAAATCAACAGATTCCACATCAGCTAGGTAAAATTTCTTAATGTTATCCACGTATTCCTTTGAGATGTAAAAGTAGAAAGGAACAAATAAGAATGATTCTGCATTATCAAGTATATTTACTTATTATTCCAGTTAGCTAAAGCCAGGCCCCTCCCAAATCCCTTATCTCTTCCATGTGAATTCCCAGAGACCATGTGAAGGTCCACATAAATGGAGGTCACTGAAGTCCAGAATCTTCTGCCGGTAAGAAATAACTAGTCAAAAAAAAATGATAAGGAATCACTAATTGATAAACTACATATTGTTATTTAGAAGAGTTTTTTTGAAATTCTGTATCATTTCTATCCATTTTTGTTTTGCTTTTTTTTCTCTAAATAAAAAGAAAAAAAGCAGAATCTTCTGCCAAAATGCAGTAGAAGGAAGAGGTTATGGTATGCAAATTTTAAAGCTTGCTACTCTGAAGGAGATGAGTTGCTTCTGAGAATTCTTATTAGTAAATTCAATTTGCTTCTATCTTCCACTTGGAGAGTTAAGCATCTTTTTTTGGTATCTACCATTTTCTTTTTTCCTCGCGGACCCTTCCAACTGTGGTCACTCCAGTAACCATCATTTCTCCTTTAAAACACATTCACATTCTCTCTGACTGATTCAGTGCCGGTTTATTGTGGCATCTCTAGACCAACTCTGGTTCCCAGCAGCTTCTTTTCTCATAAAACAATTCCTAAACTCATAATTTACCCCTATGTTGCCAGGACACTCCACTAAAGTGTCATTGAGCTGATGGAACTGGTGATGTCTGGGGAAATGCTGTCCACGTGGCTCAGCCAGGATCACGTCCCTCACTATCTGCAGCTGTGTCACTGAGTGATAGAATCAGGTTACAGGTGAAAGTTTCGGAGGGTCCAGTGAATTTACCTGAAGAAATTGGAAACTGTTTTCTTTGTAGATTTTGTTGGCGCTTTTCAGTTCATATGCCTCAGTGGGCTTATTCAGTTCAGTCAGAAGCTTTTGAAATTGATGATGTACGTTTCCTGAATTTTCATCCTTTAATGTCAAAAAGAGTGTTTATTGCATGAATATCGAGTTCATCAATAATAAACTTCTGTGACATCTGTTCCATCAAAATAAGATGGCCTCTTGTTTACTCCCTGATATTTGTGACATTTTATCTCATATAACCTTTTATCTCATATAACCTCATATAAAATATTCTTATCTTTAGAAAAAAAGTTTTGGCATGTTGGACTATTATTGGTTTCAATAGTTGCATTTTTGTCCTGCAGGCTAAATTTCATGTGCCTTAGGCAAACACTGCATTTCATTTCTAACATCCATCAACGATATAGTTATATTGAAGTTTAGATATTTTACATATGCTAAAATATGAAGCCCTCTTAAAACCCTTGGTGGCCCTTCCCTTGCAAGTGTGAATGATGGGTGTCTAGTACCCAGTGAGCACAGGTAATCTAAGTCTTATTAAGTGAAAACAAGAAAGAAAGCTGAGAGAATTAAATACATTCTCTAAGAGATTAAATTATAAGAGCCAAGATTTAAACCTAAGTCTATTTGATTCTGAGTAATACTTTCCAGTTAAGAATTTTGTTAACTTCATGACCAAGTTTGGGGAAAATATCAGTCTACCTCTAAGCCAGTATGTTTGCTAGGAATCATTTTCCAAAACATGCTTCATCTTGTGCTTATTTCTTTTGCTTCTAAAGTTACTTAAAACTGAGTTGTTTTTATACTACTGTTCTTATGATAATCATTATTCGATATTAAGTAAAATTTAATGGCTTCCTATTTATGGCATCTCAAGCACTGTGAATAAATGCTTGCAGGAGCTGATTCCCTTTCCTTTTTGCTCCATTGCACTGGGATGAGGACACTTAGTTGTGTCTTGCTGTTGTTCACCGTTTGTGAGGAGCAGAACCAGAACTGAATCCAGCTTGCTTTGCTTCAGACTCACTCTCTTTAATACAATGCTGACCTTCTCTGATTGAAAAACAAAAACCCACAAGAAAATTTATTGTGTAACTGAAATGTGAACACACACTCTATATTCTTTTCCTATCTTTAGGATTTTCTATGAAAGCTAGATTTTCTCCATTTATGTAAAATTCCATGGTTAAACTATAGCCCTCTCAGACACCTGAACCTGTGCTTCGGCCACAATGCTCAGGTACTCACTTGATCAGTTTTAGTTTTTTCTGTTGACTTCTTTGTGATTTCAATATAGTGAAGGACCTGGAAGAGACAGAAAATGGGACAAGGAAATTTAACTTTAGAGATCTGTCTAAATCAGAGGAAAGGAAACCAGAGAAGTGTATAGTCTTGGAGCATGCTTGTAATCTCAACAGGCTGGGAAGGCAGAGGCAGACGGGTCACAAGTAGAAGCCCAGCCTGCACACTTCAGCAAGTTTGAGAGACTCTGACTTGAAAAGAAAGGAAAAGGAAAAAAAAAAAAAGAAAAGAGCAAGAGTTTGGTTTGGTCCAGTCTCCATTAACAAGGGTGAGTGCCTGGGGTGATGGTGGTGGGATCTTGGTGTTCAGAACTAACAACAAATGAAAATAAACAAAAATAAAAAAACAGAAAAAAAAATTCCCAAACTTCAGGACATATCAGTTTGATCTTTGAAAGACCATAGTAATGCAGGTTCACTACCAGACACTTCAAAGAATGTTCATCCACTGATTGTTGAGGAAACTTCTCATGGTGTGTCCCTTGGATTTCAGTCCAAGCATCCCTTGCATCATTAGTCCTCAAGTGTTAAGCTCTTATTTCATTTTTGGGCAGTTATAGATGGTCTATTTACTTTCAAATGATATCAGGGCACAAGGAAAGGCAAGGTAGACACTAGAGGAATGTTTTGTTTGTCCCATATCTCTGTGATCACACAGTCCTGGGAGAGTTGCTCAGTGCCCGGTTCCACGCATCAGGCCATCAGATCCACACATCCAGGCACACGTGAGCCAGTAGAAAGGCTGTGACAGATCTGAACATAATGTTCCTGACACTTACCTTGTCAATTTCTTCTGCAGTGCTTCCTTTGGCCCCTAAGTGGAGCATTGCTAATGTTGCTGAGATGCTGAAAGGTGAGTAGAAGACATTGTCCTCTGATTTTTTTAAGCGTTGAAACAGATCAAGGGTGAACTTGGTGTTTGCTTCACTGAGTGAACTCATAGCGACTGTATAGTGCCTTGGAACTCCTAGAAAAGCATCCAACTCATGTGAATTTTACCTTATTGACCAAGCATTATTCTGCAACAGTATTTCCTAAAGAAAATGACATATCTGGGCCGCTGGATTATTCTGACAAGGTTTTTATTATTGTTACTTTTAAGTCTTCCATAATGTCATGTACTAATCTCCTAATTAGAAAATTCATGACAGCATTATTTTAAAAATAATTTGTAAATAATTAATAAAACAGTACAGAGATTTAGCTCAGTGGCACAGTGCTTGCCTGGCAAGCACAACATCCTGAGTTCAATTCCAGGAACAATAAAAAAATTATAGAGCAGATTTCTCTTTACTTTCTCACTGGCTGTGCTAGTTTTAGGTATGAACACTTTGTAACAAATACCCAGAGAAAGATGTCTGAGGATCACGTGACCTCAGGCAGTTCTCAACAGGCACATCTTCTGTGATTGTTAGATATGTTTGCTTACTTGGAAACAAGTTATTTAGGTAAAGAATAAAAGAGGCATTTTGCATTTTCCTTGTTGCAATACATATAACACCATCAGATACAATTTTATAATTGATATGAAACATAGCATTGTTGTAGTCTTAAAGGCAATTCATGTCATTAAGCTGCAGGAACTGGCGGCACTTACCTGTGTTCCCCAAGGAAATTAAAGTCGGCAGGGAGCCTGGGAGCCTCTGTGTCGTGAGTGGTGAGAGACTGAATATATATATATATATATATATATATATATATATATATATTTCTCCACTTGCCTCCTCTGTGTCATCCCAGTTGATATTGAAATACCAATTCCAGTTGGTATTTCAAGTAAAACAACTTTAGATTTCTCAATCAGATTAATCCTTCTCAGTCTGAGTGCAAATTTATTAAAGGACAGGTTTGGTCACTGCCAGTATGCTTTCTTTTCTGTAGAAACAAAATTCAGACTTTCAGTACTTGATAGTCCTTGACTTATTTGGAAGGCATGCTATACTTTGCTAGTACCACCAAATACATATTTGAAGTTTCACTCTCCTCTTCTCTTAGACTCCATCTCTCTGGATATTCTGACAACTTTGGAAAGTATGTTTCTTTTTGGGATGTTAAATTGTTGCTTTTTTTTAAAGGGAAAGCAAAAAAAAGTGTGGAAATAGTACAGAATTTTTTTTAAAAAGTAAGAAATCATCACTAGTTAACATATTACACATTGTTATGTTAGAAGTACTTCCTGAAGTTACAAAATCAAAGCACAAAGAATGAACAGACAATGACAGCACAATTCTTTTTGATGAACTAACAGATAATTAGTAGTATGGTTATTTATCTTGTACACTTAAACATCTATACAGTTAAATGTGTGTACCTACAAGTTGTTCTTTCCTTTTGAACACTGTTTTTAAGGCCTGTTTAGTACCAAACAACCAAAAAACTTACATTTACTGTGTCATCCCTAGAATTTTTATTCATCCTATCCATGTTTCTAGCTTCTATAGTACCTAGAAAATAGCAAATTCTAGTGCAAAGAGGTACTGAGGATATACTTCTACAAACTGAGGACGGAATTCTCTTGCTCCTCTTCAATGCACTTTTCTTGTTAGTGGCAAATTCTCAACTCCTTGCAGCTGTGTCAGATTTTTTTCTGTAGCTTAAAGTAATGAGAAAGTTATTTAATTTACTTCCTTGACATAAAGGAAATGAGAGGAGCTGTTGAGTAAGCAGCAGGCATTTTGAATGGCAGCCTTCCAATCTTTCAAAAAGCAACAATGTCATCAGCACATTTCAGAGTAAACTCAACACTGGTTTCAGACTCATCTGGATGCCTGGGTACAATGTCTGTGGGATGTCATGGAAGGAGGTGGGGTGTTTTTTAAAGTCATTTTAAAATCCATTTTCTCTGGAGTGTTCTGTGCATGTGCATGGTGTTACTCTAGATAGAATAATATTAATAGTTGCTTTTTGTTTGAACTGGAGCATATATTTTCAATGCACTTTACAAATCTCTTATAAATAGGTTTATTTGAGCTAGAAATACAGCTCAAGAGTAGAGTACTTGACTGGCACCTGCTTGGTCATGTGTTTCAACTCTAGTAACACTGAAAGAAAAACAAAAGTAGGTACAGTTATTATCACTGATGATAGAAGTGATGGTAGAAATACTTATGCACTAGTTTACTTAGCAAGTGGATTACAAATGTGAGATTTCAAGGTAGAGAGACTATGTGAAGAGCTTCAGTGTTTATCTGCTGTCTCACACTACATAGAACAGGCTTCTGGCTTAATATGAAGTATCTTCCCTCATTTAAATAAGATCATCTTGCAAATACTGCAAAAGACAAAACATTTGCTCACAATATATGAGGCACAAATACAATATTTTGCCCTAGTGTTGCCCTCAGTAGGTCATACAGGAAGCCAGGGAGAAGGCTGGGGCTGTAGACACCCTGGTAGCATCTAAGAGCAAGTGTAGGGCGAGTTGAGTGGGGATGGACAGGGGATGATTTCATCCGAGTACAGAGTCCAGAGAAAAAAGTTAAATCTTGCTTAATTTAAATGTCAGTTTTGTGTCACGTATTGAAATATTAGACACAACATACTTAGGCAATAAAGGGAGGTTTCCTAATGTTCATGGTTCTGGAAAGTCAAGCTAAGATTACGTCTTCTCATTTGTTTTCCCTTTTGGTGGAGGCATCATATCAAAGGTGAGAGGTGTTGGAGGAAACTGCTTATATCACATGCCAAGGAAGCAGTCCAGAGGTTCAGACTGAGGCCCCATAATTCCCTGCAAGAGGTTGTCTGCAGTGATGTAAGGACTTCCTATAAAGTTCACGGGTTAAATTTCCAGAGCTCTCCTCAGGCCATCACCAGAGACACATCTTCATTTCCATTCATTATATATCTACTGAGAGTAAAACTAGGTCATATAATAATTCTGTTCAACATTTTGAAGAATTGTTCAAAATCATTTCTGTAGTGACTGTAGTATATTGGTTTCCAGCAAGGACAGGAATTTTCTCTAAATCTTCTCCATCATTTATTACTATCACAGACCTTTCCAAACATCAGCAATGAAAGTATTGTTTTGGCACCTCATAACATCACAGAAATATTTATTTACAGTGAACTTTCTGAACTCATTGGCTGGAGGTAAGGAACAGTAGATAGAAAGGTAACTAGATTTTTAGAACTGAAAAGTTTTCCTGTTTGCTTCCTTTGCACCAAAGAGTTGATGACCTTAGGTCTTCTTTATCAAAATATATATTTTAAATCTCTGAATGATTTTGCTCAGTAAGACTTTCCTGATTTGAATTCGGGCATGGATAACTGGAATTTTGGTGAGCTAAATAGTTGAAATATAGAAGAAAAAAGAAATAGAAAATATGAAAAAAAGTGCAGCCTGTGTATAAAGAATGTAATATTTGACTATTTATATATATTATTACAAGATAAAAATGAACTTTTACATGGAGAAAGATGGGTTTAGTAGAGTGATAGGTAGAAAGGAATCTAACTTCTCCATAAAACACTGTGGTAATGAGAATTTCAGCCTGGAAATGGAGGCAATAAGTAGGTGAAAAACCAAGAGAGATTGAAGTTTCAGGAGGCCATGAGTGGAACAAAACTTTACACACTGCAATGAAATTTTCCCAAGATATAAGATGTATCATGAAGAGACTGAGTTTGAATAAAATGTTCTAATTCATAATAATCAGTCATTTGCTTTAAGTCAAAGTGTGGATTTGATTAAATGAAAAATCATTTTATTGTTTTCTTCTCTTCCTGGTACATGACAAGTAGGATTTGATGTTGAGATATATGTTATCCGCAAAGTCTCTCCAATTTTCAGAAGTTTTTCACATGAGCACTTACTAATACTTGTCTATAGTTCATAAGATTATGCCAATTTCTAGTGATCTAGGAATTAAACACCAGAATAACAAAAACAAAGAAACAAAGCTTAAAGGAGTTTGCTCTTTCGGGAACCATTCTGCTGTTGTGTGTATACTTTAATAGCTTGGTTATGTAATATCTCCTAGATCTATTTTGAAGGGTGTGTTCTCAGTACAGTTGAGCCTTCAATGAAACAGAATATTTTATTAATTCCTTCTTACAAAAGATGTGTTTGTGCCTTTCTACCGGGAAGTGACTTGTGGAGATTTTTCTTGCATCAGGTAATTCCAAATGTGCCAATTATTTTGTATTCTATCATCTCTCTAAGAAGTAAAGTCAGGACAAAATGCACTCACTTTATCTAAGTTTTCAAGGAGGAAAAACAACCCAAATAAGTTTGAAAAGAACTTATTTAGGAAATTAGTCCCATATATAAACGTATCATGGAACACAGAAAATAAATAATGTTATGCCCACTTGCCTCCCCCCACTGCCTGCCCACCAACACTCCTCAGAGTAGACATCATTCTCTGTTTTCACAAAAATGAAACCTTAACCCCTCAGTGATCTCTTAGATATCTACTGCTTATTCTTCTGGGTATTCTTGCTTTATAGCCAGAAAATATCAATAAAGAATTTCTTCTTTCCTAGAACTGATCTTTTCCAGTTGATTTGTCAGATATATGAATTTTCCACACTAACCACTGTCCCTTAAAATTCCATTCATGTTCCACGAGTCTAAGAAATATGTCTTCTTTTTTATCCCCACTATTTTTATAACCATTGTTCTTTTTGCTATCTTCAATGTCCTATTTTAATTTTTTTGGCCGTGGAAACACTGTGAATCACTATGTATCCATTTATTATCTCCTGTGTAACTTGTCGATATTTACCAAGCAGTCTATTATTTTCTGCCCCAATACAGGCTTCTTTATTATCCTAAATGGCTCCATTATTTTGAGTGACTTCAAATGTTTCCCATTGCTGGTAGCAAATGACACCTCATTTTGTTTGCTCTTGCATCTCTTACTATTTGAGTTTTACTTTTTGTGACTAATATTTCTTTTACCTTTTTTTTTTTTTTTGTCTTTTTTCCTTTTTATCGGTACCAGGGATC